AAAAGGGCTTTGAGCGATGAAGATGATGGGAAAATTTGAAGCGAAGAAGAAGATGGCGAAAGGGAAACCATTTTCATTTTTTCATACACACAACAACTTCACCTCTACTTTAGTTGGTTTATAAAGGGATTTGTTGACTATTTTGCCCTTCAACTCTTTCCTTATTTAAAGCTAGTGGCATGTGACTTTGTGGATAAAGGTGGAAAGGTTTAATTTTTTTTTTAAATATTAATTTAATCCATAAATTACACGTGTTCACTTCTTAAAAATTTTAAAATAATATCAATTAGATCTATAAACTCTCGGTTGCTAATACCCCATACATTGATGAAGCAAAATTAGGAATTCGCCCGAGGCAATAGCTTACCAAGACAATGATCAATAGTTGGTTCGAGAGGATGATCAACCACACTGGGACTAAGACACAACTAGGGATGTACATTCAACCTGACAACCCGGACCAACCCAACCCGAACTATAAGAGTTGGGTTGGGTTGGATTAGCATTTTGAGTTGGGTTGGATTAGCATTTTGGGTAGGGTTGAGTTTATTTTTCTAAACCCAATTTGAATCTGTTCGATTTCGGATTCGTGGGACAAAATCCTCGGATTGACCCGAGTGACCTGATTCAAATAAAAATATATAAATTATATTAAGAATCTTTTAGTATTAATGGATTTGTTTTGTCTTTAGTTTTAATAGGTTAGAATTTACCCTCCCGGTTGAATTTGTTTTTTTTTTTTTGTGAATAATTATAAATTGATTTGTGTTTGTTTGTGGATTAATAAAACTTCAAAAAAATTTACAACCCAACCCGAACCCAACTCGAAAATAGAGGGTTGGGTTGGGTAAAAAAAAAAAAATCTTCAACTCAACCCAACTCGGACCATGTACACCCCTAGACACAGCCCAAACTCCTATAGAAGAGGAGAATTTTTCACAATGGGCAAAAGCCGGACGAAGCAATGTTGTGGAGGTAAAAAGCTTCGTACAATAATTTTTTAGGGTTTAGACAGAAAATTGATCTAATTTTATTTTATGTCTAATAAATAAATAAATTTTTAAAATATTTAAATATATTATGAATGATATCGAATATTTGTACATTCAAAAAGTTAGAATAAAACGCTTTTTTTTTTGTATCTTTTTTTGAAAATATGTGGCTTTACGATACTTTTACGTAATTAAATTAAATTATGGTATATATTATAAAGAGTGAAAGATTCGAACATTTGACCGATAATAACATCAACTAAGAAATACCTAATCTTTCTTTATGGGTGGTATAAGGTGATACGACAAATCTTGGTTTTTTTAAAATATTCCCAACGCTTATCCCTAAGCTCTTACTTTTTCCCCGATACTTTGACACGCAAATGCTTAATTTAAACAGTGGCAATTTGGTAATTTCGTATCATGGTGATGACGACTTATGCTGGCGACAACGCCTAACGGAGTGCCGGAATTTTAAATTGGAGAGAAAGACTTGCACGGCGACCACGCCGACCGCGGCCTTCTTCGCAAGTGCGCTTTGGATTTTGTGTCGTCTAAATATGAAACATCTTTTCTTTTTTATTTTATTTTATTTTATTTCAATTTTTCAATAATAATTTAATTTTTTTTTTATATTCAAACTATTTCCTATTTTATCTCAAAAATACATTTAAATTTTGGGTATAATAATATAATCACTCCTAAACTCTCTCGTGTGGAGAAACCGACAATCTTTTTAACATTTTAACTCAACTGTAAAATTTGATCCTTCCCGTTAAATAAAATTACCAACTCTTTAACGTGTCCAAAACGTGCCTATATGGTATGAGATAAACAATTCGAAAACTATAGAACCAAATTTATAATTTTAATATATTGGTAGCATGTGGTTTTGGTAAATAATTAAATTAAAAATAGTCGATGAATTATTGAATCTAAACTAATCTAAATCAATATTTATTTATTATATAAAAAATGTAATTACCAACCCTCATGAGGTGGTGTAAAAAGATAGAATTTGAAATGTGCCTTGGCTTCCAAGTAAAATAATACAAAGTTTCTTGCAAACTTGGATAACTAAAGATTGAGAAAAAAAAATTAAAAATTAAAATAAAGTGAAATGGGACACTTAACCACTTTGTTTTTGGTAAAAGAAAAGGTTTGAAATTTTCAAATATTTGGATAGAGTTAAATATCACATATATATATATATATATATATATATATTTATTTATTTATTTATTTAATTAGGTATATAATTTTGGGATGCTCGGGTAAATGAATGAATTGAAATTATATTAAAACGAGAATAATCCTAAAAAATAAAGTTATGGCTAAGAATGACTTAGAAGAATTGATAGTTACTGACCCGTATCAATAATATGAAAACCTTATTCAAATATCTATTACTAACCATGGTTAGTCGAGTAGAGTTAGAGAGAGCCCTGGTAAACTTGAATTGGGCTTCCTAAGGTTAGTTGGGTTGGGCTCTGGCCCAGTTGGGTTCGGTTCTCTACTACCCAAAATTTAATATTAAAATAGCGTAATTTTAAAAAATAAAAAATACCATTTCGTTTTTTTTTATTTATATTAAAATAAAATAATGTATATTATTTCTTGTCAAGCAACAAATTAAATTAATTATATAAAAGATCTAAATCCCAATCAAAATTTGATTAAAAAAAAAAAATTTCTCAACTTGGTCATTTATGTACAATCAAAGAAAAAAAAAACATCGAACTATGGATTGGATCAAATCTAGAACGAACGGTAAACGCATCACGACACTACTTTCTTCTTTCGAGATTGAAAATTTAGATCCAAAAACTCAAAAAAAGAAAAGGGGGGAAGAAATCTACTTCTTATTTTGAATGGGATTTGCTCCACTTGGGGGCATTTTCTTGAAGCTTTGTTCCACAGCTTTCTTGGGCTCTTTAATGGAGTTGTTCTTCATGTTCTTTGTTCTTGAAAGCAGCAGCAGCTTTCTGGGCAAGCTTCTTCTTTGATCCATTGTAGCTAAAAGGGTATTGGTTTGGAGTTGATGGCAGCAACAAGAAGCAGAAATGGTGAGAATTTGAACCAAAACCAGAAGGAAAAGGTAGCACAAGGATTTGCAGTTTGAAGCCTTCTTCTTCATATCTTGCGTGGTTTTCAGTGAATTTGGAGGTGGTGGATGGTTTATATTATATAGCCTCCCTTGTCCTCTCTTGTATTATGACACATAATGCACTTACATGTCGGATCTCACGTTGGTCAGAGAGAGAAATGAAGTATTCGTTAAACGTCTGGAAACATCTCCTAAGAATATACGTTTTAAAATTGTGAGGCTAACAGCAGTGCGTAATGGGTCAAAACACACAATATTTGCTAACAGTGGACTTGAGCTGTTACAAATGGTATAAGAGTCTGTCACTGGGCGGTGTACGAGGACACTGGGTACCAAAGGGGAATGGATTGTGAAATCCCACATTAGTTTGAAAGTGGGTCTTAAAGAGGGATGGATTATGAGATCCTACATTGATTGGAGAGTAGAACGAAACATTGTTTATAAGGGTGTGGAAACTTTTCTTTAACAGACATGTTTTAAAACGGTAAGGTTGACGGCGATACGTAATGAGCTATGGTAACGGTTCATATGTTTGGGATTGCTCTCATTCAGATATAGTAACGGTTCGTTTACCTTTACTCGAGTGTCACATGTCCACTGTGATTCGTTACATGTTCGGGAAAGGAAACGAGAAAAGGTGTGAAGTTGAATGAGAAAATCTTTGTCTAATGTATGATTCGACATTAATAATTGAAATATTTTAGAAATATGATTAGAAGCATGTGAGTGCTGAATTGACTAATACTGTTCTTTCTGACTCACTTACATTGAGCTTTGCAAATTGAGTACTAAATTATCAAATAATATATAAACATTATATTCTCATGTGACTCACCACGTGAAATTCAAATCAAAGCACGTGCCATTACATGTTCTTTCCCATTGCCTTGTTATTTCCAAAGATATCAAATATGATATTGCTTTTATTCTTCTTCTAGGGTTTTTTGTTTGGCCAACGTTACCCAAAACATAACTATGTGGGTTTTGTCGTACGGTATTCTCCCGACGTTGATGTAACAGCCCAAGTCAGTCTACTACTAATAGAAATTGACTGCTTTTGACCCATTATGTATTGTCATTAGTATCACGAGAGAGGTTTCTATATACTTATAAGGAATGCTTCGTTCTGGGCCTCTCTTATCGATGTGAAATCTCACAATTCATCCTCCTTAGGGGTCTAATATCTTGACTAACACACCATCCAATGTCTAGCTCTGGTACCACTACTAACAAATATTGTCCGTTTTGGCCCATTACGTATTGTCGTCAGCCTCACGATTTTTAAAACGCGTCTGTTAGGGAGAGGTTCCACACCCCTGTAAAAAAAACGCGTCGTCAGCCTCATAATTATGTTTTTATATTCTAATGGGTTTCGTCTCTTCAGTTGATGTAACAGCCCAAAGTCAGTCTACTACTAACAGATATTGACTGCTTTTGACCCGTCCGGGAGAGGTTTCCACACCCTTATAAGGAATGTTTCGTTCCCGGCCTCTCCAATCGATGTGGAATCTCACAATCCACCTCCCTTAGGGGTTTAATGTCCTAACTAACACACCATTCAGTGTTTAGCTCTGATACCATTACAACCCAAGTCTACCGTTAACAAATGTTGTCCGTTTTGATCCATTACATATCGATGTCAGTTTCACGATGTTTAAAACGCGTATGTTAAGGAGAGATTCCACCCTTATAAATAAAAAAAATGTAAAATGTTCATCGGGCGAAGAGTCTCAAATTTTGTAACACACGAATATATAAGAGGTATATGATACGGATAATGTAATGTTCTGAGATTTAATTTAATTTTTTATTGAAATTATTTATTTTAAATGAAATGCACTATATATAGCCAAAAATTTGAATTTGTTTTGTATTTTACATGCGCATTTTTTGTTGTTGAATGTTGTTTGGAGCTCTGGGGGCGTTTCGCGTTATTTTTGCAGACGCGGTTTTCGTATTCATTGGGGACGAAGACGACACCTCTCTTCTACACATAATCAAGCGCCAGTCAACATTCAGTTCTTCCTCCGAACTCTGTTTTATCTTTCTTTATCTTCTTTGATCGATTTCTTTTCTTGTTTTTTCTTACCCATTTCCCCTTTTGATTCTTGACTCTAGCAGTTCTTATCTATTGATCAAGATCCCGCGTTCTCCCGCGTTTAATCCAGTTTTCAGCTTCTTCTTTGTCGATAATCCATTTTGAACACTTTCTGCGGTCGTCCTCTTCCAATCTTTCCAGGCTCTTCTCATTGATCATGGACTATGAAGCCTGCGACAGTAGCGGTAGGTTGAAATGATTTGGATTTTGTTGTATTGGAATATGAGTTCTTTCAAATTTAATTTGGCGGGTTTTCTTTGCGCGTGGTGGGACTCTTTATTTTCGTCGAGGGCTTGAAAATAGGTTTCGGTTTTTTTGGTGTTTTAACGGAAATTGGGGTTTGGTCACTTCCATCAAATGAAGGTTTAATCGCGTTTTACCCTTTGTTTTTGAGTTATGAGTATTATCTTTTCCGTTATTTAGGTTTAGTTTTTGCATTCATTCGAGAAATTTTTAGACTATCGTGCTCGATCATGGTGGATACCCTTTGTTGCTTGATTGGCAAGCCAAGTTATTGTCTCTTCGGTTCCCTTTTCTCGAGGGCGTAAGTTATTCCATTTAGGACTGGGAAGATTTAGGATTTTCTGGATTATGAGTTCCTTCAATGCCCTTTTCGGTTGAATTGTTCCTTACATAAAGTATACATGATGGGGATTTCATCATTATAAACAGTTTATAGGAACCCGGAGGATGTTATCAGAATTCTATCGTGTTAATGGGGGAAATGATGAGTTAATCTATGTATAACATTGTTTAGAATCATGTATCCTGCATATGAAATAACTGCAGGTACTGATGATGATCGTCCATCATCACATCATAACAGAGTTTCTAGAGGAGGTCACATATCTGGAAGGGGGACGTCTGTTTTGAGTTCTTTTCCATATTCTAGAGTGCATGATATGGAGACCCGGATTCATCATCTCGAAAAAGAAGCTTACAGCTCTGTACTGCGTGCGTTAAAAGCCCAAGGGGATGCCATTACCTGGGTGTGTTCATCCTTTTCAAGTTTGCTAGTGCATATTTCATCTTTATTGGTTTGCATTAACTGAGGTTTATAATCTATGTTTGACAGGATAAAGAAAGCTTGCTAACAGAGCTTAGGAAAGAATTGAGAGTATCAGATGATGAACACAGAGAGTTGATCGCTAGCGTTAATTCCGATGATATCATCCGTGAGATTAGGTTAGAATGTTTCTCAAGCAATAGAATTTTAATCGATTTTCGGATGTATCTTTCTTCAACTCTATTGTATTATGTTTTGAGATGGTACAAGGGAGTGGAGACAGGCAGGTGGGCACCAAATCGTGAGTCGCATTTCGTCCCTGCCAGTTCATGATGTTGTTCCTAGTCCAACTGTTTCGGCATCCCGTAAGAAGCAGAAAACAAGTAAATTGGTATCACTACTCTTGCCGGTTTCCATATGTTGATTCTGCATTCTAAACCATGTTTTTTTGTTGTATCAAAGGGCCTTTTTGGCAACAACATATAAAACATGGTTGTCTCTAGTTTTCTGATTATTTAAGGTTTCTTCGTTTTTTATCTTATTAGAGTACATCATTGACTGGTTTTTCATATATGGAACCAATGCAGTACTCTTCTTCGGTTCCTGCTGGAAGCAGACAGTTAAATAATCGTAGTTCTTCTGGGGCTTTTCTGGCAAACGGATCTGCTGAAGCTCCAACATATGATGAGACTTTCATTGGAAGGAAAGTGTGGACCAGGTGGCCCGACGACAACAACTTCTACGAGGCTGTCATAAGAAATTACGATCCTGTTAAGGCATGTCTTAGTCGCAAAAAATTGCTTCAAGCGTTTTTGAACCATTTCGGGAACAATATTTTCTTATGCCTTTTTCTTCAGGACAAGCATGTCTTGGTTTATGATGCAAACACATCACGAGAGACGTGGGAATGCGTTGATATTAAAGAGGTATGTTTGAGTATTGCTTTCTTTTTTGTGCCGAAGTATTTCTCTGAATCCTTCGGGTTGTTAGGGTCTACGGGGTGACAGTTATAGAATATGTTGACAAATTTAGGAAATGCACAAGAATCAACGGGATTCAGTACATTCTTTTGAAAATTAATGCCATTTTCTGTCATTTTTAGAAAGTGTTAGTATTCAGGAAGTGTATTGGGTGCACGAACCATGAAACATGTTGGTCGCTGCCAAGGATGTGTTGTTGAGTTCTTGAAAAACATGTAGAATTCTTGGAATTATCTCCTTCATATATAGAATTCTCTCCTTCCCGTAGTCATTTGCTTGAGTTCTTGGAATCTTTTATATAATTTGTAGAAGCTTGGTGGCTGCTAAGGATGTTTTGTTGTTGGCATAAGGATTGCTTGATGGTGACATTTTGGTGTGGTTGGGTTGTGAAGTCCAATCGTGTGCAGCGACTGAAATCTCCTGATAACTGCAGATCCCGCCCGAGGATATTCAATGGGATAGGGAGGATCTAAGAATGACTCATCGAGGAGGCCATAGTGGCCGTGTGTTTAGAAGAACGCAAAGCTCGGGTGGTTTTGCTCCTGGTGCTGGCAGGGGGAGAGGACGCTCAATGAGCCAATCCAGAAAGGAAATTTCTGCATCACAAAATAGTGTTGGAAGGAAAGTGGTGGATGATATTGAATTACTTAATACAGAGGTATTAGTAAAGGAGGTAAGTGTATATGTATTGAAAATAGATTGGATAAAAACTCAAACAGTGATATCCATTTGGTGATTTTGAACACCGACAGGTCGAGAAAGTTTTCAACTCAAGTAATCCCGATCCCGTGGAGCTCGAAAAGGCAAAGAAAGTGCTTAAAGTATGGTTCTTATCATGCTTTTCCCATTCCTTTTTTCTCTGGTAAATCGTGTTCTGTATTCGACTTGCAGGATCAAGAGATGGCACTTGTGGATGCAATTTCTAGACTGGCTTATACATCTGATGGTGAAAGTGGTAATAAATATATGTGTACATGATGTCAGTATCTCTACATTCTGTTGTATATCTCATTTCTTCTTCCTCTTTTGGTAGAAAATAATCATTTAAATGTGTTTGTATGAGGATTTTTCTTAATGCCCGTGTGTATTTCCCCTCTTCTACAAAATAATAGCAGGAATTTCCTCTTTTTTTTTTCACATACTGATATCGAATGTTAAACGTTCTTGTGGAAGAAACAAATAGAGATAAACGAAACTCGGATTACAGCACGACAGGGACTCGAGCAAATTCGTTTAATATTTTCCTCTGTATTGTATTCATGATTCTACCAAATTAGAGAAACTGGAGATAATTCGTTTACCGATTGTTGAATTCAGCCAAATGGATGTTTATATCTAATCGTCTTTGTTTTAATGCACAGCAGAAAGGGAAGCAGCCAAACGTGCATGATCAATTAGTTGACAAAAACAACGATACTTGAGCTACCAAGTGCCAGTGCCAAATCTGTATAGAATTGTACCAAAATTATCCTATGTTAGTGGATCAAATTCTTTTGTTTTTTTGTTTTTTTTTTTAATGTTTTCTCTTCCAGTGAAGGGGAGGGATTGCCTGTTCTTGTAGATATCTATGGCACTAGATGGGATAGGGTAAACAACATAGTGAAGATTTAGCACTCTGTAGCTTGTAATTGCATTAATGGCTTCATTTCCGGCTACATTACTCTGAATTCTTTCCAATTCTCTTTTGCTGGTGTGTCAATATTTGTGTTCGTCAATCCAGCGAAACTGCAGGCCAAAGTAAAATGAATCAGTAAAATAATTTTAAGTGTGGGGAAATGAATTGGGTTAGGCAAAGAATTTGAGTTGCCCTTGTATATATGCAACTTGAAACATATCAGGGATCGTGGGTTTTCTATCTAGATCAAATTCAATATGATAATTAGAGCAAATCAAACAAGAACATTGAATCTTCCAGCTCTAGGAAACGCTTCTAATGAATCAAAATTGCAGAAAAGTGAATAAGTTAATAGGATTAAGGACAACCCGCTAACTGTGAGATCCCACCTCGGTTAGAGAGTGGAACTAAGCATTTCTTGTAAGAGGGTGGAAAGCTCTCTCTAATAGACGCATTTTAAAATCGTGAGGTTGACAACAATACGTAACAGGTCAAAGTAGACAATATCTGCTAGCGGTGGATTTGAATTGTTACAAATGGTATCAGAGTCAGACACCGATCAATGTGCCAGCGAGGACGCTGGGCCCTAAAGGGGTGGATTGTGAGATCCTACATCGGTTGGAGAGGGGAACAAAGCATTCCTTATAAAAGGGTGTCCACCTCTCCCCAGTAGACGCGTTTTAAAACTATGAGGCTCATGGTGATACGTAACGGGTCAAATTGGACAATATCTGCTAGCGGTGAGCTTGAACTGTTACACTAACATGCTCGAAATTCAGATCATGACACCCCCTTTTCTAAGGTTTCCATCTAATGTCTTTTGCTAATTTGTCAGCCATACCCTCCCTCCTCCAAAATTGGAACTGATAAACGAGAATGAAAGGGGCAAGTGAACAATGACGATATATCAGGAAAACTATTCATACGAACTATAAGAGCAAGTATGTGTTATTAGTTTTGTCCTTAGAAATAGAAAACTGACATAAAAAAGCAGCTCCTAACCAGCTGCTTAATTACAGTCAAAATTCAAGCTTTATATAGTTGTCTTTACCAGTCTTCTAACTTGTAGCAAGAGAACATCGAACACAATAGCTAACAGAACATTAATCCAATAATCCAAACACAAATCCTAGTTTCCAATTTGAAATGTAAATCTAGATTCCAAGAAAGTTGTCACATTAATCCAATAATCCAAAGACAAAAAAGTCCTAGATTCCGATTCGAAATGTAAATCCAGATTCCGAGAAAAGTTGTCCCTACTAACGGAGGAGAGATCACCGTCCGAACGACTCTTCAACGGACTCGTAGAATCCAGAACTCAATTGAAAAGCATAGGGCGGAACCTAGGAACAGATAACACCATAAAAGAATTCAAATCCTTAGAAAATTATACCTCTATTTTCATCAAAGAGGGGGTGTTCTTCCCAACTCTAATGAACTGAGACTCGAGTATTTCATAAACCAAAAACATTGTTTATGAATATACCAACAGAAGATCAATCCTCCTCCACCTACACCTTGATACCCCTCCATTGCCATTTTGTTCTTCAGTTTCCTATTGCTATGATAAGAAAGTATCATACTCCAATCTGGCAGATCTTCATTAAAATATGGAAGATTTGGAGAATCCCGCAGAGTACTTCAAGAATTGTAATTACAACAAAAGCACTTACGACTACAGCCAGTAATTTATTATCAGATGCATGGATTATAAAGTTTCAACAGATTGAATATGATCTCAGTCAAAGAAATCAAGTTCATATCAAATAGAACACACCCAAATCCAAAAGATGGAGTACCAAAACAACAAACGATTACCGCCGATCGGAGCCGACACTAGAGAACACAACGATAAGGCATAGAAAAACAGGAGGTACCATCTCGAGCTACCATCAAGTCAAAGACCACTCAAATCCAGTTGAAGGGGCAAAATCAATATTCAAGACATACAAACACGTACCAAAAGATTCACGAAAATGGGGAAACAAACCTGCAAATTAACCTACCAACCAAAAACGCGAGTGGCGGAAATTTTCCAGGGGAGACTTCCGTGAAGAGTCATCTAATCGTGGTGGAATAACAGAGCACAAAACGAGAGACTAACGGGATGATATTGCCGCCATGCATCTCATATGGATCGCGGCAGCTGATTAGCGATAACCGATGAATCGACCATGAAAACGCCTGAAGATCCAAACCCAAAAACCATGGTTGTAGATTGAAATTGTGCGTTACTTGATCCAAATCCCATCTTCCTAATTAAACAGAAATCACGACGAAAAGTTAAACCAATGTTGAAGGAGAGAGCGATTGGGGAAAGAGAGGAAATGTCGATGTTTTATTCGGAACCGATCCTTCAGGGTTGGTCGACATGTCGTTTTTAATCTTCAAATCAACCGCAGTTAAATGACAGTTAAAATACCCTAAAACGATCCTACGAGATGTGACTAGTCGTCAATTCTCTTTACTCGGGTTATATACTATCAAAGTCGTCGTTGGTATCTACTCGCTTTTAGCTTATAATATTTATTTATTTGAAATTGTCTTCAACGTATTTTCTCGCTCACGTTTTCTAAAACATTTCTCTCAAACGTGATTCAGGGGTCGAGCACACGTCGATATTGTTCGCGAAGTGCGAATCCGTTAGATCAGAACCGATATCGAACCATCACTGTCCAGCTATCGCAAGAGTGCAATTGTCACAGTGGCAATCAGTTTAAATAAAAAAAAAAAATAATGATAAATAATAAATTACGTGGCATTAATTTCAATTCCAATTTTGCTGCCTAATATTTTCCCACCGAAACGATCCAACTCTCCCTCCATGTTCCAAAACCCTTCCCTCTGTATAGAGTTGGAGTTAGGGTTTACGACCACTTTTTTCGTTTCCTTGATTTGTATCTCTTTTTTTGTAGCCTTTAGGTCTTTAATCTTATCGTTTTAGTTGTATTCTTTGGTTTTTCTTTTCGAGTTCGTTCGGTTTGTTGTGGATCTCGATCAGGCTTTGTTAGCAATGGATTACCGCAAGAGAGAGAAGCCCGAAGTTGGTTTAAATGCCAATGGCGGCTTCAAAAAGTCCAAGCAAGGTTTGTTCCTCCTTCCCTTGCTCGTTTATTTCGCATTTCGAGTACTTTTTGAAATTCTGTATTACGTTGTGTTGTTTCCGTGAAAATTTATGTATCGTGGAGGTGGCAGTCTGTTCAAGTTTAGGTTCGAAGTCGAGTACTAGGAAATCGTTGGCGGACATTTGAATTTCGCTTTTTTTGTTTTTTGTTTTTTTTTTTTTAACATTGACAAACTTTTAAATGCATAAATTGTTTGTTTGCCCAACTGAAGAAGATTGTATAACTTTGGAAGCCACCCCACCTGATTGAGGTCACCTGATTATGTGTATATAGAGACATCAAAATCTTATATGAGCATATTAAATCTTAAGAAGTTAATCCTTGGTTAAGAGTTCATTAACTGTTTGACATTTTAGAGTCATTACATTAGAATCTAGGATAAGGGACTGAGAAAACCGTAATAAATTTTTTGTAACAGAAATGGAGTACTTATCAACTGGTGTAGCAAGCAAATCAAAGCCATGCACCAAATTTTACAGGTTCAAATCTTCACTCATCTAAATAATTACTTGGAAACTTATCTTATCCTTTTCTGAATCTTTATAAATTTTTGAAAGTAATTTTCATTTTACAAGACCCAGTTCAATAATCTTGCTCATGAAATAGGCAAATGGCATACAGATTAAATCTATGGTCCTGTCTAACTATTAACAAATTTTCTATTTAAGCAATAAAGATTTAACTACTTTCTAGAGTATGGTTCTGTGATGGTATTTTGTACGTAAACTGTGAAAATGATGATAGTTTCTTCAGCTTATGCTGGACTAGTACAATTTTTCTCGTACATCTTTTTGGTAAGTCTATGTCATGATGTCGTCACAAATACTTGGTTAGCAGGATTTACGTCGTGATTTTTATGTTAACCTAGAAATCGATCACTGATCCAATTTGAGTACTTCCACAGGATAGACCTCAACAGAAAACTGAAGAGTAACGGCAACAAGTGATTGAGTTCAGTAGTTCCTCATATAAAATTATTGACTCTAGAGATATAGTAATATGGAGAAGACTAAATTGTTTGCTTGTTTGAGTAATAGCAATGAGATTCCCCTCCTCGATACTCAATCAAATCCTCTTTTTTGAGGATTGAATGCATCCATTCAATATCAATGAACCTAGAAAAGAGAATTGAGGGCGAATGAGCGAAGCCTCTCGACCGATAAGGAGAGGGGAGAGGATAGAATAGTCGATTTATACAGAATGGTAAAGGGGGTCACTAGAGCAATTATGATCTGGAAGTTGATCCGGGGCAAATGTTCGGATCTATTACTTTTTAATTTATACTTCTATTTTTCTAATATATACTTATATATAGGGTAGGGGGGCGGATGTAGCCAAGTGGATCAAGGCAGCAGAGTGTTATGGCTAGTGCTTTGGGAGGTGTTAATTACTAAAACATCTAGAGTGGCACTTTTTAATTGTACCTATATTTGTGTATCCTCTCAAATTTATTGGAATCAGTTTCTCAAACCGTGTACGAGACATTGAATGAATATTCTTCTCTCTAATCTAAATTATTCTTGATAAACCCAGCTTGTGATATTTCAGAATCTCTGTTTGCATATCATTTGTGTTTCTTTCTTAGTGTTTTTGATTTGATGTGGATGGACTTGAAGAAATTTCTGCCCTGTTTTGATCGAGTAGATTTATTTTGAATGTGAAGCTAAACCTTGGAAATGTGTTTTGTAGACTTCTCATTTGCATTATTT